GGGGGCCCCCTTAAAAATCACTGCTGCCATGGGACAGCCCCAGCCCTCTGTGCTGAACCCCGCCTGCAGCTCCGCTGGCATGTGCCACCACCTTTGCATGTAGCCTCATGCACAGGGCTTATGCAGGGCCCTAATGCATAGCTGCTGATCTCCCCAGAGCCCCAAGTGACCCTCACCAATGGCCTCTACTGGCCTCCTCTTCAGGGAAGGGGGTGCACTCTCCTTGCGAGTCAGCGGGTTCTTACGCCGGTCCATCGATTTCTTGGGCTTGTAGCGCACCTTCAGGTTGGGCTCAGATGCTGCAGGCAGACACGGTCATTAGTGGTCTCATGGGTACAAGGTGCTGCTGGAATGGTTTCTTAGGCTCTGGCATGATCGTTGGGGCTGTCACAGTTGCCATGAGACCCTCTCACCTCTGTGCCAGCCCAACCCCTTCCTGTCCCTAGCCAGCGCCTGCCAGCACACAGGCCCTGCTTTGTGCGGGAGTGAAGGCCAGGAGGAAGTCTGGCTGGGAAGGCAGGCTGAGTCCACCCTGCGGTCACGCCCATGCCAATGGGCCCAAAGGCAGCTCAGCAAGGCCTTACCTGTTTTCCGCAGAGGAAAGTGCTCCGGAGGGTCTATGGAACTGCTGGGGACTTGTGGCAGGAAGGGGCTGAGCACAGGAGGGGCAGGCCCTTCGGTATCCAGGGGCTCTAGAGACCTGCAGGGAGCACAGCGCAGTTAGAGACTGGCCCTGGGCTCTAGGACGCTTCTCGAACCTGCAGCACTGGCATTCTCCAGGAAAGCCCGGCACAGCCTGGCCCACCAGGCCACCAAGGCTGCCCCCAACTTCTTAGCACTGGAATTGCCCCGGTCCTCAAACTCTCATCCATCCAACAAAGGACATTCATCACCCTGACACTGGGACAGCCTCGGCCCTGCACAGCCCCCAATGCCCTTGGCCCCGCGCAGCTCCCTGAGGCTCCTGGTGCTGGGACATCCTCCTGACACCTTTGGTCCCTACACAGCTCCAACCCCCACTCTCCATCCTGGCCAGCACAGCCCCCCCACCCATAGTACTGGGTTTGCCCCAGCCTGGCCTGTTCCCTGGGCAAGCGGCACGTATGCATCACTCTGCTCGTTTTTTTCCCATAGTCTGTATGGGAAGTGCATCCCACCAAGGCACGGACACTCCCAAGACCTGCACTGACACAACACTGGAGCGGTGTCTGAGCCATGACCTGCAGAAACGGCCCAGTGATCTGAAGTGCCTCGCCACGGGTTTGCAGGGCCCTCAGTGCAGTCCCAGTGGCAGTGGGTCGACAACCATTGGTGCCCCTGGAGAGCAGATAAAACCAGGTCTGGCCACCAGAGGGAGCTCCCTGGTTGTAACAAAGCTCAGAAAAAGCTCTGAAGGGCTGGGCAGGGGCTTCCCCCACACAGACAGCCCCCACCAGCAGCCCCTCAGGGGACAGTGAACACGCAGTACCTCTGCCTCACCTCTACAGCTGGGGGGGCCAGTTGGGGATGCTCAGGTGTCTCTCACTCACCTGTACAGATTGGGGGGGCCGGAGGTTGGGGACACTCAAGGGTCTCTCACTCACCTGTATGGCATTGGGGGGCCACTGGGGTTGCTGGTCCTTTCCAAAGCTGCCTGTTGTTTCTTCAGGATGACCTCAGCTAGCTTCTGCTTCACCACCGTGCTCGCCACCGCACCTGCAGGGAGAAACCATCCTGAGTTGGGAACTGAGTTAGGCCTCTTACGGGGTGCCCAGTGCGCTATGGGCAGCCATGGAAAGTCCTGGTCCTGTACAGCCTCACCACTCTCTTCCTGCCCAGGGGACCTGAGCGGCCAATGCCAAGGGCCCAGCGACTTGGCTCCACAGTCAGCTGTGAAATCTTGGCCTGGCTGGAAACCTTGGGCCATGCCTGTGCTACATAATCTGCTACCTTGCCATAGAGTGACTGAGATTGGGGCCCTATTGTGTTCAGGTCCTGTACATGCATGTACAATACCTGAGATCGGGACCTCATTGCGGAGCCTCATTGTGCTGGGCACTGGTGCTTGCGCGCACGCACACACGCACACACACACACGCACTCTTTCTAAGCTTTTGGCAGATCCCAGCCTGGGAGCAAAATGTGGCCAGGACTCTGCCAGCCCAATGGCAGCCCCTCACCAAGTCATCTCCACAGCCAGCTCCCAGCTCTGTAGCAAGCGGATGGCACACAGACTCACCCGGCCTGATCCAGTGAGGCACCAAACTCCCAGGTCTAACTTCACCTTGGCCTTGGTGCCCGGGCCCAGCTCAGCACTGTAACGCCCTGCTCTCTCCTTGCCACACTGCACACTCATAAAATCACAGAATCATAGAACCATAGAGCTGGAAGAGGCCTCAGAAGGTCATCAAGTCCAGCCCCCTGCTCTAGGCAGGACCAATCCCAACTAAATCAACCCGGCCAGGGCTTTGTCAAGCAGAGACTTAAACACCTCTAGGGATGGAGACTCCACTAGGTAACCCATCCCAGTGCTTCACCACCCTCCTAGTGAAATAGTTTTTCCTAATATCCAACCTGGATCTCTCCCACCACAACTTGAGACCATTGCTCCTTGTTCTGCCATCTGTCACTACTGAGACCAGCCTCTCTCCATCCTCTTTGGAACCTACCTTCAGGAAGTTGAAGGCTGCTCTCAAATCCCCCCTCGCTCTTCGCTTCTGCAGACTAAACAGACCCAACTCCCTCAGCCTCTCCTCATAGGTCATATGCTCCAGCCCGCTAGTCATTTTGGTTGCCCTCCGCTGGACCCTCGCCAATGCGTCCACATCCTTTTGGTAGTGGGGGGCCCAGAACTGGACACAATAGTCCAGATGGGGCCTCACCAAAGCCGAATAAAGGGGAATAATGACCTCTCTGGATCTGCTGCCAATGCTCCTCTTAATGCAACCTAGTATGCCATTAGCCTTCTTGGCTACAAGGGCACACTGTTGACTCATATCCAGCTTCTCATCCACTGGAACCCCCAGGTCCTTTTCTGCAGAACTACTACTTAACTGGTTGGTCCACAGCTTGTAACTATCCTTGGGATTCTTCCATCCCAGGTGCAGGACTCTGCACTTGTCCTTCTTGAACCTCATCAGATTTCTTGTGGCCCAATCGTCCAATTTGTCTAAGTCACTCTGGACCCTATCTCTGCTCTCAAGCGTATCTGCCTCTCTCCCTAGCTTAGTGTCATCTGCAAACTTGCTGAGGGTGCAATCCATCCCCTCACCCAGGTCATTAATAAAGATATTGAACAAAACCGGTCCTAGAACCGAACCTTGGGGTACTCCGCTAGAAACCGACCGCCATCCTGACATCGAGCCATTGATCACTACCCGCTGGGCCCGGCCTTCTTGCCATCTTTCTATCCATCTTACTGTCCATTTATCCAATCCACATTCCGTTAACTTGCTGGCAAGAATAGTGTGGGAGACCGTATCAAAAGCCTTGCTAAAGTCAAGGTATATACCATCCACTGACTTTCCCACGTCCACAGAGCCAGTTACCTCATCATAGAAGCTAATCAGATTGGTCAGGCACGACTTGCCCTTTGTGAATCCATGCTGACTATTCCTGATCACTTTCCTCTCATCCAAGTGCCTCAAAATGGATTCCTTAAGGATCCTTTCCATGATTTTTCCAGGAACCGAGGTAAGACTGACCGGCCTATAGTTCCCTGGATCGTCCTTCTTCCCTTTTTTGAAGATGGGCACTTTATGTGCCTTTTTCCAATTATCTGGGATTTCTCCCGATCTCCACGACTTTTCAAAGATAATGGCCAAAGGCTCCTCAATGACATTTGCCAACTCCCTCAGTACCTTCGGATGCATTAAGTGGGGCAAAGCAGTTGTGAGGAGGCCAGGGAAGAGGTGGAAGTAGAGGAGGTGGTCAGCACTGCAGGCAGTGATGATGGCATATATTGTATATTTGCCGCAGCCACTAGGGCATACTCCTCCCGGATCTCCTGGGGAGTGGAGCCCACAGTGTTGGTAGGCAAGCCAGCAGGGCCTCTTTCAGCCCCTGGAGGTTGCCTCCTTGGCAGGGCCTTGTCTTTGCCCTGAGCAAGAGATAGAAGAAGGGGAGGAGAAGGCCCTCGTGGGACAACAGTGGTATCCAGGGAACCACCTGCCCCCTTCTCTCTCTCTCTCTTCCCTTCATGGGAAGGAGGAGCTCTCACCAAAAGGGCAGCTGGCGGTGTAATTCCCAGCTCGAGGAGCTACCTGCACAAACTCCAATCAAGCCTGCATGCTATAAATAGAAATGCAGCGATGGTGGCTCAAGTGGCAGGAGAGGATAGCTATGCCAAGCGCATCCAGATTGTCCTCGCTTGGCTAGGCTGTCCCATCTCCTGCTAAGCCTCTATTTTAACATGTTTGCCCTCCCAAAGCTAGCACAGGTATGGTGCTCTGAGCCGACACCTTTCAGCTCCAGTGCAGACATACACTTGCTGGGATCAGTGCTGACCCATTAGGCAGACACCAATCCAGCCAGTCCAGCTGTGACCTCATTCCTGGTCAGTGCCAGGTCTCCCCACACTGCCCCACAACTGTGCACACTGCTTGCTGCAAAGATCACCGATTGGGAGCCCACTGGGCTTGCTCTTCCCAACAGGAAGCTGGTGGATGAAAGTGCTCAGAAGGCATTCTGAGTGTCCCCTGTAAGCTGTATACTTGTGCAGCCACCCAGGAGAGGTTTAAATGCCACCCAGCTGATTAGCAGACTGCCCAGAGCTTGGTTTTAGTTGTGAGCGGTGGTGCACATTCACACATGCCTTGGTGCACACAAACATTATTCTGCACATGGATGGAAAAGATTCCAGGGAACACTGCTGTGGAGTGATGGGTCTGGCCACAGCCCAGCTTGCTAGAAGCTCCCGACTGATTTCCAAAGCTCCTGCTTGGCCAAGCATTTGTCACACTGTTCTCAGCCACACCTCATCATTTGCACATTTCCACAGTGCTAGCAGCTCCCACGCCCTGGGAGGCAGCAGGGTCACTTCCACCTATCCCATCATGCTCAGCTCTCGAGCCGGAGCGTTAGCCAGGTAATCCGTGCTCGGCTCTGACACACTCCAGTGTGTCCTCTCTGGCTCTGCATTCACTGGTTTGTGGCACAAGGACTTCTGGGGACAAAGCCCAGTTCTTAGTGGTTAGTTGAGCTGAGCCACTTTGTGCCAAAGAACCCGTGTGCCCTTTGGGCGCATGGGGAGGGCAAGAGATGGTTTGGGGGAATTAACTGCAAAGTGGGCGGGTAACCAGCTTGAGCGACAGCTCAGCCAGCCAAGGGCTGAGCATGGCCGCATGCAGGCTAGACAATCTGTGTGGATGGGAGCTGTGTAGAAGAGGCTCATGGGTGATCAGGGAGTTGGCTATGGTGGGTTCCCAGGGTATCAGGCACCATGGCTGCTAATGGGCTCTCTGAGGCTCCCAGGCTCTGCACCCTGCCTTGTGGGCGCCTGGTGATGCATGTGAGGGAGCACATAAGGCCACATGCACCCTCCAGGGCAGGAGGGGCTGGCCAGCAGCCGGCAGGAGGGCCAGCACTGGCAACAAGAGTCTGCGCAGTGTGGTCCCCTCCCCACTCGTTGGCAGCAGGGAAGGAGCAGGCTGGCCAGCTCCAGTCCACATGGTTCAGCTCCTTGGGAAGAGGCAGGGAGGGGTAGAGCAAGGGAGCGGGAGAGGCGGGAACAGTGCCTCCCCCTCCCCAGTGCCTGGATGGAGCAGCAGGGGGCACTGACAAGGGTCAGGCTGGGGCTGCAGTTTGGAGCTGTTCCTAGGGGCAGGCCGGGGTGAGGCACCTCAGGAAGCTTTGTATTGGGACAGGGATGACAGGGGCACCGAGTGCCAGAGCAGCACCCAAGCCAGGGCTGTGTCCTGGGACCTATGTCCATTGGCACTGGCTGGTTCAGCCTCAGGTCCTTCCCGCTGCCCTCAGAAGAAAATGGGCTGAAAAGACAGAGAGCTGGGAGGAGACAAACTCCTGGTGCCCTAGAGCCTGGGTGGAGGATTCCTAGGCTCCTGTAGCAATGGCTCGCTCCTCCCTGCCGTGACATGGAGTGGCCCTGCACAGCAAAGGAGAAGCAGAGGCGGGCTGGGGCCCAACCTGCTTGGGGGCAGCAGGCAGGAGCAGGGGAAAGCGAAGGGAGCTCACCAGGCAGGAGTGAGAGGCATGCACGGATTGCAAGCACTTTCCCCTAACTCCCTTAGCGTCCAGGGAAGGGGCTGTGTCCCAGAATGCACGGCTGCTGCCCCTCCTGAAACTCCGCCCTTGCACCTAGACTTGGCCAAGGCATCCCTCCGCCTTTCTTATTCAGTAGCAGCTGCAATCTCAGCAGCTGCCCTTGGCAGGAGGGTGGGGCTGGGCACCAGTGGGCCCTTTGTGGCTGGCAAAGGCCTTTAGTGGAGAAGCAGAGCAAGCACATCCTTGCCAAGAGCACCCTGCAGGGACACGGAGAGCCTGAGCCAGGCGCACAGTTCCACGGCAGGCAGGGCTGTGCTCAGCAAGAACCAGTCCGTGCACCAGCAGGGAGCACCCACATGGGAACTATCCCCTCCCCTCCGAACGGGCAGGGGGCCTGAACAACCCCCCTTCACAGACTCCCAGGCGGAGCCATGGCACCACTGCTTTGCAGACAGACAGATCGACACGGGGAGCACTCTTACTTCGTTTGCTCTTGTCCTTATTGAGGAGTAGCCGCAGCTCCTGCTCCTGCTGCCCAGCCTCTGCCTCGCGCTGCGGGGAGTCCATGTTCACCTGCGGGGGGACAGAGACCATCAGCATCGCACTGCCCTGGGGGGAGGGGAGGGGCAAGCTGGTCTAGAAGGGAGAGGGAGCCTTGCCCGAGCCAGTGCACTGTGGGGGAGGGGAGGGAGAAGTCTGCCCTCACTAGTATACTGGAGGGAGGCAAAGGGAGCCCAGTCTCTGCTGGAGTCCTGTGGGGAGGGGAGCCTAGTCTGGGCCTGTGTGGAAGGGAGGAGGGAGCCCTGCCCCCGTCTGGCCCTGTGTGGAAGGGAGGAGGGAGCCCTGCCCCCGTCTGGCCCTGTGTGGAGGGGAGGAGGGAGCCCTGCCCCCGTCTGGCCCTGTGTGGAGGGGAGGAGGGAGCCCTGCCCCAGTCTGGCCCTGTGTGGAAGGGAGGAGGGAGCCCTGCCCCCGTCTGGCCCTGTGTGGAGGGGAGGAGGGAGCCCTGCCCCAGTCTGGCCCTGTGTGGAGGGGAGGAGGGAGCCCTGCCCCCGTCTGGCCCTGTGTGGAGGGGAGGAGGGAGCCCTGCCCCCGTCTGGGCCTGTGGGGAGGGGAGGGGGGAGACCTGCGCCCGCCCGGGCCTGTTGGGAGGGCA